GAAGGCCTCTAAACTCGAGAGCGCCGCGTTGAGGATGAGCCCCTGCAAGGCAATGCCCTTGAATATCATGGAGATCTGGGGGGGGGGTCAGAACTTCCCCATCTTGTGCCAGGGCGCCTGTGAAGCCAGCATTCTGCATTTCTCTTCCGCCGAGAACCCATTGTGGAAATGCTGGCGGCCTCCGAGATGCCTAGTTTCTGCTGAGACCGAGCCTTCGAGGGGGACCTTGTCCCCGTGGCGGATCCTGTCGAGGGCCCCTGCGGCCCTGCCGGCCCCCTGGGCGATGTTCATTGGTTTCCTGGTGTGTCGGGCCCCTTCCGATCTCCTGAAGTTGTCAAACATGGAATTGCCCCCGTGGACGACGGCTGGCAGGCGCTCAGCGCTCGCGCCCACAATCTGGCGACCCAGGTCGTCCGCGAAGACCGACGCGGCGAGACCGATGCGGTTCGCGTCGAGCTCTGCCCCCAATGGCGCGGGCAGCGTAGTGCGTGGAGCCCCATTCATGATGTCGACAATTTTCTGGACGCCCGAGTGGTGCGCCTTGACGAACAGCTCGGTTGCCGCATGGTCCCCAGGTAATATACTACTCTGGCTGGCCAGATGTCCGCTGCGCACTCCATCGTCGACCGTGAAAGTGCTGATCAAGATGCGCTGGTAGAACGTGCCCACTCATTCCCTTCGAGAAAGCTCACCAGCAGCGGTCTCGGCAATGGCTTTCGTTTGCATAGAATGCACTGCGGGCGTCATGAAGCCGAATGATGCGATGCAGCCCAGCTCGCCTCAATCTGGCGGAGCCGCACATCCGCGCCATCATGGCGTCTCCTCTTGGGCGCCAGGGGATACCTCGATGCGCCCAGTTCGGGAACCTCGCATTGCTGTTCACGGTCTATATAAAGAATGAGCGACCACGCCCACCGAAAATCATGATCAGCCTTTCCCCATCTGTGTGCAACTTGCCATTGTGCTCCGGCGATCGACAAAACTGAACCTGGTGCCACGTTGGCGGCGCTCGCCCCACTTACCTCATGGCGCGGCGCAGCGGCATCGTTCGAAGCGGGGTGCCGAGCGAACGGAACATCGGCATCCAATTCGGCTGCCCCTCGGTGGAGTAGGTGGTGTCTCTGTCCACGCTCGTCGTGATGCGTCGCTTCTGTTGGCTCCCCGATGTCATTTTGAAGGATCATCGCACTGCTCCTGGCAAATCCCGCAAGTACTTCCCTACACCACGGCCATGACCTGATTATCCTCCCTCTGGTCGTTGATGTCCATGTGGGTCCCCCGAACCCACGGAGGTTCTGATTTCCGCATTCCCAGTGAGTGCGCCCCTTGGGGAAAGGTCGTGAGTGCAGGCAGCATCCGCCAGCCTGCCCATTCGAGTCGGGTCAGAAACTCGTTCTCTCCTCGAGTCCCAGGCGCAGTGCTCAGCCCTTCCCTCCAGCGAATCCCTTCTCCTGAGTTCCAAAGGAGTTAGATATCTGCCTTCGCGGGGTTCGGCCAGGTCCTTGGCGCCATTGCGATTCGAATCGTTCACGTTGCCATCCTGCCCGCTGCGAAGCCCGCATCTTTGAGATGGTCGATGGCAGCAGTTCGGGGCGGCACGCACTCGTGAAAGATCTCCTGGAACGCTCCACGGCGGTGTAGCTCGCCACGGCGGAAGCTTCTCCAGCGCTTCTCCAATTCCTTCGACATCCCCTAGCACTTGCTCGTATGCCGCCTGGTCGTCAATCTGCTCATCTGGCTCATTTGTCCACTCCAGATGTGATTGAAGATGATGGACTCCGTGCTGTGCTCGTCTATCACGGACTGGGCATCTCCAGAATCCTGTCGCCACTTGTGGGGCCTGGCATATGTGAAGTACGCGAGCCGCTGCACCTCCTGTGGGCTCCTGCTTCTGAGCTTTACTGGTCTACTCCAAGGCCGAGGCTCGAACCGTGGGGGTTCTGCAGTCGTGTCGGCCCCGCGGCCCCCGGAACGTGCCTGCAATGAGTCTGGAAAGTGCGCGCGCGTCGTAGGATCGATCGCCTTTGCTGCCAGGCCTCCCAGAATGCTTCCACTCCTTCCTCAATGCGATTAGATTGCAGGGCTGGCGACAAAGCCTGTACATCTGCAGGTTGAGATCGTCAATGTTGGTCCCATTCGGGGACAATGAGGGGGAACACAGCGTACCGGCATGAGTTCGTCAACGCCTAATGCCCCGCGGGTGGGGGACGCTGCGCGTGTCCATCCGAGCTGGCCAGAACGTTGGTAGACATACCCAGGGCACCACGGCAGGTTGGCGTTTGCGAGAGCAGCGGAGAGGAGAGCGACCAGGGCAGACGGCAGAGGGCAGCAGCACAAGAAGCTCGAGAGACGAGGCGGACGAGAAAGGGTGGCAAGCACCTGGCGGAGACGGGGGCAGCAGAGCGGCGCACAGTGCCCCGCCCAGTTCCTTCTCAGCGTCGTGGGCGGAGGCCACGCCGCCGAAGACGGGGCAGCCGTCCGTCACTTCACTCGGGGAGCAGCACTGCGGACCGCAGGCGTCACGAGGCGAGGCGGCGGCGAGCGGCCAGCCACTCGATGCAGCCAGGGTTGTTGCAGCCAGGGTGGTTCGAGCCAGGGTGGCTGCAGAGGGGGGGGGGGATCAGGAGAGCACGCGGTGATGAGAGCGGAGTGGGGGAGAACACGAGGAGGAAGAGGAGAAGGCGAGGTGGAGGGAAGGACGCACGGAGGTGAGGAGAGGGGAGGGGGGGAATAGAGGGGAGGAAAGAGGGAGCAGTAGGAGGCGGGCACGAGAAGAAGAGGAAGGATGAGAAGAACACGAGGGGAGGCTTGAAAGAGGGCGACTGGGCCGCCGATCGCGAGCTCCCATCGCGCGATCGGCGCTGCGGCGGCTTCGCCCGAGCCGTTCCGATAGCAGCGAGTATGGTGCTCATTGCGCGGAGGAAGAGAGGGAGAGAAGCGCCGATGGGGACGGTCAGGGAGACCCGATGGACCAATACCCAAATCCATGTGAATCATCATCGGTGACCTGGTGCTTCCCTGCGCTTCATCCTCCGCCTCCTCCTCCTCGTTCCTCCTCCCGTTTCAGTCACGTCTCCTGATTCGTAGCTCCTCGCTGTCGCACTCCCTGAAGTGCCGCAGGGGCGGGCCAGGCGTTTCGCCTGAGACCCCCTCGCCATATATGCTCCCGAAACTTGACAGCTGCAACGACTTCACCGATGGAGGGCGGGTCCTCTTCAGACCGTGGCGCTCGCCGTAGCGCCGCCCACGGTCGTCTTGAGCATGTGCAGAAGGGCTTCGCGGATGGAGTGCGGGTGGTGTTCCACATATGGCCCCCGCCTCCGCGCCGTGCGCGCTCGTCTCGAACATTCGCAACAGGCTTCGCGGGTGGAGGGCGGCTCCATGTCAGCATGTGGCTCTCGCCTCGGCGCCTGGCGCGGTCGTGCCCAAAGCTCACAACGGTGCAGAGGCTTCGTATGGCCGGGGCCCCAGGAGTTGTGCTCTGGTGCAGCCCAGGACTCTCAGGACTGTCAGGACGATAGGAGTCACGAGGACTCGCGGCGCTGGAGGCCCCAGAACGGCGTTCTTGCACGATGCATGGTCGTCAGAACGCGGCAACGGCGCTGACCCGCGGCGTTGGATTCCAAGGATCCGTGTTTTGGCACAGTGGAAGATTATCAGACAGTTGTCTTGTAGTGGGTCACTTCCCGCAGCGAAAATTCGTTCCGTTGAGGGGCATAGGAAGAGGCAACTTGGAGGGAGGGTCGTGCAACATCTTGGATGCGTCTTGGCTTACACTGGTCTTCCTCCTCCTCTTCTTTCTCCTCATCCCTCCTCCCTTCTTCTCCTCCGTAACTGCGGCCACACGGCCGGCCCGCGTTTCACCACACTGGCACTGCAACCGATGTACCGCCGAGGCCCTGGCAGGCTCTGATCGGCAACAGTCCTCCCACAGGGGGGAGGGCCCACCGATGACCGCCCCCAGAATGCCGCGTCGCAACTTTGGGCAGGGTTGCGGGGCAACGAACGGGTTTGACCAGCGCGGGGGCGGGGGAAACCTCGGCCCGACATCGGCGATGCGCTGCCCGTACATCGGCGAGGGGCTCCCGACAACACACCCGAACGCTCTCCGACGGGGCGAGCTCTTGGGCCCCGGTCGGCGAGAAAAATGGGCGACAGGGGGGTCGATGCACCCCACCCTGGGCCTATCCACCCCCTATTGAGGGGCAACGATAGAGGGGGGCTGGCATAGGGGGGGATGCATTGAGCTGGAATCGGCGATACATCGCCGATGGATCGGCGATGGGCCTCCGATAGTGAATCCGCACCTTCCTGGGCAGGCTGGGGCTATCGGGCCCCTATCGGCGATCCATGGGCGATTGGGGGTCGATGCATCCCCCCCTACGCCTAGCCCCCCCTAGCGTTGCCCCTGGCCTCTGTCTGAACCCAAAGGTGGGTTCCTGCCGTGCCGAGAGCCTGCCGTGCCGAGAGCGGCCCTGCATGCTGCCAGCGCGGAGACGATCCGATCCTGAACGATCGCCGGTCTCAGAGGCCACCAGAGGCTGTCGGCACAGATCCCCGTGTGCAGCCTGCGCCCTGGGCCGTCTTCCGTGGGCCCCGGGGGCCAAGGACAGATCCCCAGAGAGTGACCAGCCTCGAGCGCTCGCGCCGGCGCTGCCGCCGCCTCGGAACTGCGCGAGCCTGCCGTGCTGGGGTGCGCCCTCGGCCCTCGGGAAGCAAAAAGGTACCGATACCGCTGTCCCCCAGACCTCTCCCAGGGTGCGATCCGACCTAGGATCTCGAGGCGACTCCAGCGGTGGTGACGAGGGCCTCCCAGGAGGCTCACAGAAGGGGAAAACGGCGCGGAGGGTGGCTGTATGGGTACCTTGTCCCCCTCTGAGGCCCATTCCAACTGGTAAACTGAACCACGACGCAGCAAAATCATCACGAAACTGTGCGGCTGACAGTTGCCGAGAAGATGGTCGACGGCATCGCGATCAGGCGGCGGCTGAGACCGCAACGCATAGCCACCATCGGCCAAAGCGCTCGAACCCGACCTCTGGCGAAGCCCAGAAGCCCTCATCATTAACCGCCTCGCCCTCCTGCCCCAGCGCCTGCTCCTACTGCTCCTTCTAGAGCTCCTGCTCCTATCCTCATTCCTTCTTCGTATTCCCTATGACTATACGTACCCCCACTTCCCTACCAAGCGACGGTTTAGCTGGCCTTTGAGTGGGTCTTGTCTTGCTTCCCGAATGCGATGCTGAGTCGACGATTGCTCCCTTTCATCATGTACGTGCTGCCGCCGACGTTGCGAATTCCTTGGCGGGATTGAGGCGCGGGTCATATCAAGCGCGGAGCGCGAAATGTTGCTCTCGCCAGATCCCCATGCTCATTTGTCCTCAAGAGTGAGCTTCTGCGGGAGCTCGGCGCGCAGTAACAAGATGCAGCAGGCACGCGCCGAAGAGAGTGAAATGCAGCTCTCGCCCACACGCCGCGAAGGTGTCCCTGGCAGGCGCGTTCCATCTTGGGCGTGGCGCATTTCTCGATCGCCAGTCCTATTTGCAGTAGGGTCGCGTGCCAACGATCAGACCTATGCTGTCACTCCATATCCAAGGTTTATTCCCCAGAGCTGTATCTCCGTTTGGGCGCGACTCATGTTGTTCCTGCGCCACGTCGTCGTAAGCGAGGCCGCGCGCGCAGACTCGGGCGCATCCCCTTCTCCAGGAGGGGGTGCGCGCCAGTCCCAAATAAAATGTGTGCCACCATTGGTTCTGAAGTTGTGAGAATGCGGGCTGGCGTGGGCGGGCCCCGCTGAACCCCTTGAGCTGCTTAGCTTAACTCCTGCTCAGACTCCTCATGCTCCATCCGTCCTCCTCCGACGTGTGGTCTGCCCCTCCTCCTCCTCCTTCCTCCGACGTACTACTACTACTACTACTACTACTACTACTACTGCTACTACTACTACTACTACTACTACTGCTACTACTACTACTACTGCTACTACTACTACTACTACGACTACTACTACTACTAGTACTACTACTACTACTACTACTACTCTACTACTACTACTACAAACTACAACTACTACTACTACTACTACTACCTACTAGACTACTACTACTACTACTACTAATACTACGACTTACTACGACTACCACTACTACTACTACTACTAGTAGTACTACTAACTACTACACTACTAATACTAGTCCTAGTCCTAACTACGCTACTCGACCTGCTACTACGACGCGACTACTACTGCTACTACTACTACTAACTACTACTACTACTACTACTTCTACTACTCCTAATACTACTACTACTACTAACAACTAACTACTTGCTACTACACTACGAACTACTACTAACTACTACTGCTACTACTACTATGCTACTACTCTGCGAGTACTACTACTACTACTACTACTACCAACTACTACTACTACGACTACTAACTCTACTACTACTACTACTACTAGTATTGTTACTAGTAG